GGGGCGGGGGGGAGCTGCAGCATTGAAGCCTGCCCTGCTCTGGCCGAGGGGCCAGTCCCAGCAGGAACCCCTGTTTCTCTCCCCCGGGAGGGGGTGACATGGGTGCAACTTCTGCTGGGGGCCAGGTACCGAAAAGAGACGGCAAAGTGCCCTGCAGGGCAGCTAGGCCCCAGGAGTGGCTCAGAGCCAGCTGAGCCATGGGGGAGAGGGCATGGGGGGCAAAGAGCCCAGAGGGTGGGGAGATATGGAGTCCCCCAGGCTGGATCAGGGCTGCTTCCCCCACTCCGGTGGAGGCTGTGGAGGGAGGTGGGCTTTGCTGGTGCCGATGGAGGGGGGCAGGCAGTGCCGTGGCCACTGGTCCACCCAAGCCCTGCTGAAGCAGGGGGGCTGCAGTGGTGGGGGGCTGTGGTAGCAGAGAGCCCTGGTGCATCCCAAGGGGCCAGGCGCTGGGAAGCATGGTGGCCCATTGAGGTTGGGAGCTCTGCCACCGGGCTCAAATGACTTTGGGGTCTTTCCTCTCACCCAGCAGCCAGTACGTCTGCATCTTCCCCTTGCCCTGGCGGGCAGAAGGGGGCAGTGAGACCCTCCCCAGGCCCTGGTGCTGCCCCTTGGGTGCCATCCCCAGCACTGAGGGGGACAGAGGGTCCCAGCCCTGACCCAGCCACCCAGCACACACCCCTGCGGCAGGAAGGGCTGGCACCCCGCCGGGGGCCCCGCACCCCCACCTTCATCTCCACCTCCCCTGCACCCTCACCTTCATCTCCACATCCCCGTGCAGCTCCAGCTTGAAACAGCCAAACTTCCTTGGTGGTGGAGGAGACGTGGATCTTCAGGGCTAGGTGGCACAGAGGGGCAAAAGGGACATGGCTGGGTTCGGGAGCAAGGCACGACCTGTGGCACCGGACCCCGGCTGCCAGCCCCGCGACTCACCCTGGCCATTTGACTCCATGTGGGATGCGGTGTTCACCGTATTCCCAAACAGGCAATACCACAGCATCTTCAGACCCACGAGTCCAGCACACACAGAACCTGTGGGCACAGAGATGCTTGGGGCTGCTGCAGGGCAGGCGAGCACCCCCCAGCTGCGGTGCCGACCAGTGCAGGGGCTCACTGGTGTGTACGCCGCTGCGCAGGCGGAGCTGGTCGTTGGGCCAGTGATGGATCTTGAAGGTTTTGATGGCCTCGAGCAGGGCCAGGGCCATGCGGATGATCTCACGGGCATGCAGCTTCCCATTGTGCACCAGCAGCCTCAACACCAACCACCACCATGTAGGCCTTCCTGATGGTCTCCACTTGCAGGGTCAGGGGGAGTGAGTACACCTCGGGCTCCCCACTACCCACCTCACTTCGGGGGGGGCTGCGCTTGCTCACACCCCCCCTCACCTTGTAGACATCAAAGTTGATGATGGCATCAAAGCAAGTGTAGAGATCATTCAGCAGTGTCACGACCTGGAAGGAGCAAGGGGGTATGTGGGGCTGGGAGCAGGCACATCCCCCCAGCCCCGGGGACAGCACTGCCAGGGTACGAGCCCCTCCGAGCCCTGCTCTCACCTGCATGGGGGTGCTCTCCGCCAAGGGCAGTGAAGCCCACAATGTCGCTGAAGTAGATGGTGACACTGTCGAAAGCCGCAGCTCGCACTGTCTCCCCGCGCTTCAGCTGCTCCGCCATGGAGCTGGCGAGGACAGGTGGGATGGTGGTGGGCTCCCTTCCTCCCCAAACCCTGCACCCCCTGTTCCCCCTGCCCCCCCTTGCCCTACACCAGCACGGAGAGCTGGCAAGGGACCCCATGCTTGCACGGCGGCGGGTGCATGCTGACCCCATGCCAACCCCTGGCCCCACACGCTCCCATCGATCCCCCTCTCACTGAGGCAGGATCTGGCAGAGGAGGTTCTCTGCCTTGCACTTCTCCTCCAGGTAGGCCTGCATCTGCTCCTCCACTGGCTTCTCCAGGTTGTTGGCGTACTGCTCCATTTGTGACAGCAGGTTGTCCAGAATGCTGGTGCTGCCCTCCCTGCTGGGGCGCAGGCAGTTGGCATCGCGGGTGGGTAGAGGTGTCCCCCAGTCCCCTCATGGCTGTCCCCACTCCCACCCAGGGCCACCTTCCCCACTTGCCAGCCATCCACTCGTTGAATCTATGGATGAAGATCTTGATCTGGCTAAAGTCAGGGCGCTCAGCCGGCTCCTGTGCCCAGCAGCACTCCATCAGCACCACCAGCTCCTCGCTGTGCACCCCGATGTCGATGGAGGGGCGGAAGAAGGGCTTCTGGCTGTTCTGCACTTTCTGCATGATCTCTGCCAGGGGATGGCTGACAGTGAATACCAGACCCCCCCAGCAGGGACAGGACCACCCCATGCCCACCCCCCACCCTCACCTTTGAGGCTCAGGTCCATGCCCTCAATGTAGAAGGGGCTGTTATGCAGGGCGACCTCCTGCACAATGATGCCAAAGGTGTAGACATCAGCTTTCTGCATACCTGGGGTGGGCAGGCACCCCTTCTGCAGCAGCTCTGGGGCCGTCCACAGCTTCTCTGGTGGGACACAGCCATAGGGTGGTGAGGCAGGGCCATCCCGTCCCCCCAGTCCCCATCAACGGGCACTCACTGGCGTAGAGGGCATGCGTGTCCTCGCCGTCGCAGGGCGAGTGGAAACTGGCCAGCCCATAGTCAGTGATCTTCAGCACAAAGCGTCTGTCTACCACGCAGTTGGATGACTTGAGGCTGCCATGGTGGCCAATGATGCTGTTGTGCAGGAAGGCCATTCCCTGGGACAGATGGACATGGTGAAGCTGGCACCCCCCCAGGCACTCCCCTCCAGCTCCTCATGCCTCTCACTTGGGTACGTTGACAATGTCATTGATGAGGGAGTCGCAAAACATCCAGTCCAGGTTGATGCTCTCATTCTCCAGGACATCCTGGAGCAGCACATTGAGCAGGCCACATTGACCGCCCGGGACAGCGGCACTGGCACCAGCCTGACCGAGCACCCAGCCACGGGGCACTCTGCGGCATGCACCCCCTCCCCTCCACCGGCCTCTGATGCTTGTTTGGGCAGCTCTGCTGTGAGTCTCGTGGGGCTTGGGTGGCCACCAGCATCTACAGCCCTGTCCTCAACACCCAGCCCAGCCAGGTCACCGGGAGTGTCTGTCATCCCCCAGCGTCCCCCCCACCTGCAGGCTGCCCCACAGGCAGTACTCAGTGACGATGCAGATGTTGGGGGGTCAATGCACGCCCCGATGAAGCAGGTCAGGTGGTTTAACTGGATGTCCCGCATCTGGAGGCAGAAGCAGAGCCCAGATGGTGCTGAGGTCGGGGGGGGGGGGGGGTGGGGTG